ACTACATTTTAATTCAGACAAGACTAACGGCATCGTATTTAGCAGGCCTGGTAAGCCACATCTTTACAAGCGTGTCCCGACTATCAAGATGGATGGTAGCAGCATTAAGATTACAAAAACAATCAAATACCTGGGAGTCCTTCTGGACCACAAACTGTCCTGGGTCCCCCACATTCAGCATATAACTAAACATACTGGACTCATTTTTCATTCATTCGGCAAGATTGCTAAGTCCAGCTGGGGGCTTAACTCCACTGCTATGAACTTGATATACGACATGATTTTTATACCAATCATTACCTATGCGAGCGGCACCTGGGGCCACGCTATCCACCATTCCCATAATAAACGCAGACTTCTTTCTGCTCAGCGGCTGGCACTTCTCTACATTGCAAAAGCCTACTCCACAGCCCCCACTAGCAGCCTCCAGGTCATCACAAGAAAACCACCCATCGATCTGTATATTACTCTCTGTACTAAGAAATGGAAAATTAAGCACAAAGAAGAAATCACCATCAACTCCAACTGTATAAATCCCATGGACATTGAGCAACACATCCCGTACTCTCAGACTATTGATCCTAGCCAAATAATTAACCTCAACGACGACATTCCTCATTCAGCTATTACTATCTATACTGACGGATCTAAGGCTGACGACAGGGTAGGCTGCAGCTTTGTTGTATACACTAACAGTGTGGAATCTTACCACAAGAAATGCAGGCTGGCAAACCATTGCAGCGTTATTCAAGCCGAACTTCTCGCAATCCTCGAGGCTTTTACTTGGAGCTCAGAGCTCCACAATCACACTGACATCCACATTATTACAGACAGCACTGCTGCCATTCAGATCATCAGGAACAACAACACCCACCCAACTGCCAACAAAATTAAGAAAATACTCCTTCGTTCAAGTAATAATTATTATCTGACCTGGACAAGGGCACACCAAGGCACCAAAGGAAATGAACGGGCAGAAAATTGGCTAAGGAAGCCACCACTGAAGACAGTCTTCCTATACAGTACAAAGCGATTCCCTTCTCACATGTTTGCAAAACCCTCTGGGAAGAGCTGCAAATCAACTGGCAAACTGCCTGGGACAGAGATCATAATGTTACCACCCATGCCTACCTTCCCAACATCAAGCACAGGAATGACCTAACTTGGCTAAATCCCAGTCATAACCTAACCCAATTCTTGACCAACCACGGCCGCTTCAACAGCTACCTCGATCGCTTTGGCTTCCAGGACAACAACCTGTGTTCTTACTGTGGTGTCCGAGATGGGAGTGACCACTATGTTTTTGACTGTCCTATGCTCCTCAGGGAAAGGACTTTCATTATTACAAGCCTTCCAGCTAACATCACCTGGCCCTGTAATCATCATACTCTCCTCAACAGCAAAGAACTATATGAACTTTACATAAAACTGATAAATACATACCAGAGGATCACACCTGTTCACGGTTTCACTCCATCAACTGCATAATCTATCATCTTGTTTCTGTGTACTTACTGTGTATTTAATTTTATATTGTATTTTGGCAATAACATGTTCTGTACCATTTTCCATTGTCCTGTACTCCATCAACCCCAATTGTGCTATGCGGTATTGGGGATGTACTTTGTACATATGTAAATAAAAATTGATTGATTGATTGATTGATTAGCAAACAGATTGTATATATAGGATACAGTGGCATACCGTGACATTTGATGATAAGGAAGCTGTTTCTGTAAGAAACCGACATCCAGGGGCAATCAGTCAATAGAGCGTCAGTGATGGTCTAGGGTCCATTCGTATCATTTATTCGATAAGCCAATAAAAACCGTAGACTTTTCTAAATGTATTTTTAATACAGTAGAGTGTTGATTATCCGAATCAATTGGGGACTGGGGTTGTTCAAAAAAGCGATATTTAAGAGAGCAGCAATCACCCTAGATCTTCTCATTCTCTACTACAAGCCTATTAAGGCAGGGATTACTTGTGGGAGTGACTTTTGAATGAGTGGCAGACAGAGTGGGAGTCCATTCACAATGTCCTTACACACACTTAATACAGTTGTCCCTCGATAATCCGACAGGTATGGGGCCAAAGGTGTGTCAGATTACCAAAAATGTCCAGATTACCGAAAATAATTACATATTTCGCATTGTTTTGCTAGCAGTAACTTACAATATTCTCTACTCCAACTGTTCGAACAGAACTGCTCACATAAAACACACGAAATGTGTGTCATTGAGTAAGAATTGGATGGGGAGATTCACATCGCGACATGCTTCTGTGCAAGCAGACACGTAACGGACTACTGAGCATGTCGGATTAAAAAACGTCGAACTATCGAGGGACAACTGTATCATTAATAAATTTAGATGGGTCAAATTGGATCATTACCCCATCCAGTGTTATACTGATCATGATCGTTTCTTTAAATAACTGCATCATTTCACTATCTGGCAGTGATCTCTGTACCTACTGTAGGATTCCTGACATAATCAAACATTATCTTCTGACTTGCTCTATGTTTGAAAAGGAGACTGGAACTCAAGCTTCTTATACAAGCAAAAGTATTTTCCTGGCCTTGCCAGCAAAGTATACTATTAAGTGGATGTGACATCTATCAATTCTGGTAACTTATTGATAGTTAAAACAGAAGAATTGTAGTTCATAATTTCTGATTTACAGTCTGACTGCAACTGCACAATGTTATTTGCACTTATCTGTATCTGTATATTTGTATATATTTAAGTGTGCTTTCTTCGATAGTCGTGAGTGAGACATATTGTTCCGATTATTTCTTTTGTTCTATGATCTTTCTTTTGATTATATTCAGTTATGATTTTGTGATTTATGCTTTCTTAACTATTGAAATTTAAGAAAAGATAGCAACAGCCATCCCTCTAGCATGGAGATCTCTATTTGAAGTCCAGCAATAATACTACACATAATATTGACAACCGAGGTTCAATTATAAAGTTCATTAATTGTAACAACACACCTGAATTTTTGCAGTACATAAAATTATTTTATTTCAAACGTTTTCAACCTATTTATTATAGGCTATCCTCAGGCTTACGATTATCATTCCAAAATAGAACGTACATTTTTCGAATAAGTTTCATTTTTAAATTTAAAGATTTAAAATAATCGTGTATATGAAAAAAAAATAAATATAATAAATAAACAGTAAAAATAAAATAAAATAAAATGGCATAAATAAATAAACACTGTATACAAGGCTAAGTATAACTATTACAAGCTTTAAGGGTTTTTAATCCCCATGCTTTTTTCTATCATATACTTCCATGCTGTTGGAAGCGCATTAGCATTCTTGGCATTTAGGCAATGGTTTTTTATTTTACTTTTATATATTTCCATCTTTTTCATTTCTAATGCAATGGTTGGGGATTGGACTGTTTAAATGATTTTTGCCTCATCCCATTTTACATTCGCTCCTTCTGTCTGCACCATGATTGCTAAAATGGTGTTGTTGTGCCCTTTATTAACGTTGTATCTGTGTTCTCGCAGATGTATTGCTAAGTTTCTTCTGGTTACACCCACATAATCCTTTGCTACTCTTAATTGTTGATTTTCAAATGGTATTTTATACACTCCAGCTTTCTCTTGCATTTTNTTGCTAAAATGGTGTTGTTGTGCCCTTTATTAACGTTGTATCTGTGTTCTCGCAGATGTATTGCTAAGTTTCTTCTGGTTACACCCACATAATCCTTTGCTACTCTTAATTGTTGATTTTCAAATGGTATTTTATACACTCCAGCTTTCTCTTGCATTTTTACTCTGTTTTTATCATTCCTTATTAATCTGTAGATATTGGGTGCTCTTTTATATACCATTTTTACATTTTTATAAGTACTCAATTCATTAATCACTCCTCCTATATGCTTATTGTATGTGAATTTGTTAATTGCATCTACTTTAGTAACGTTAATAAAGGGCACAACTGTGAGGCTCTGGACAGGTCCGAACCCTCACTAAAATTCGCATTAAAATAATTGTTTTAGAGAAAAAATATAGTAGTTAGAAATAGCTTTTTATTTTATGAAAACACGACGCTAGACAATAGAAGACTTTAAAACAATAGAAGAATGTAAGTCCATCTGGACCATTTCCGGTTGGAGATCGAATTAAACTTCAATTTTGACCTCTCCCGCGCCCCCGAAAGGTTTTGAATTGTCATCAGGTGACGACGGGAGACCAATCGGAAAGGGGAATCTGAGAGAAAACAGATAAAACCCCGGAAATTCGAGGACGCGACGGCTTCTTCTCCCGAAAGTTCCAAGTGACGGACCTGTTGTTGTGTGTGTGTCTCGCACCCATCTTCGTCTCCATCTCCCGACCTCGGATCGACATCTTTCCCTCAACGAAAGTCGACTGCACCGTCCTGGAGTCATCGAGACGTGATGGATTTGTTCATTCTCGAACAAGGGACACTCCTTCAAAGTGGGACTATCGTGGAACCACAGGAGAGGAAGACCCAGAGGCCGTAACCGCCGCAGAACTTCAAAAGATCGCGGAAATCTTGTAAGCTTCTTTCGTGTTTAATAAACGGTTTTGTTGTTTGTAAACGAAGCATCTATCTCTGACTCAACTGCTTCCACATGTCGTTGATTGTTACCGCTCGGCAATCCAAACGGCAAGGGAGATGATGACAATACATATTGCATATTATCGTCGATCGAAAGTTTTTAAATCTCTCCCCCTCGGCCCCCACACAACGACGCCATCTTAGCAATCTTAGGAATCCTTCTTATCTTAGGAAATCTTAGGAAAATCCTTCAATTTAGATGAGTATATAATAAAAAAGCTGAACATATAAGTGCAGTATAGTATCTTAATAATATGATGATAAAAGTTAATATATGAAAGTAAAGGTATTATTTTTACTAAATTTTAATTATAGTACAAAAAAAAAAAAATCACAGAATATGATGACTATCTTTATATCAATATATCACATACACAACTGTAACTTTGATAGTACAGTCGAAGTAAAAACTTTGCTAGTGGAGCTGGACCTCCACCGCAATCCAAGCCAAATGCAAATAGGTAACATGATTAAAAGTATTTATGGCAAAAACTTTTATGCTCATTTTTACATAGTGGATTCTCTGATTTGATCAAATTTATTTTTAAATTTATGTTATTTGTCTGCAGTGGTAAAAGAACATTTTGCTTTTTATATATATACATATACACAGATTTAATAATTGTATTTTTATTTATATGTTCAATCCTTTTTAAGGTTATGATTTTTTTTAAATGATTTTATAGCTTTAGTTTATGTTTTACTGTTTTTATGGTTTCCATTATCTTGTCAAACATTATATCATGCTTTCAATTCACTCTGTTACAGATAAATTGGTTTCCACCATTTATACAGCTATAAATAACTTTAGCACATGTATATTCTCATATCAAGTCCTTGTATGAAAATACAAGGACTTGATCTGAGACTAGAACAATTACACCTCACCTCCTAAATCTGCATTGGCACATTCATACATCACTAGACTCAACGGATTTTATTTTGGAACCCCAAATTTTTATTGTCAGAACCCTAGGATTCCACAGAACATAAGTTGGAAACCCCTGTATTATACAATAAAAAAACTATTTAAAGCCTTTCTTAACTTCTTCATTACTTAATTAAAAATTAATGCACTTTATCAAATAAAACAGTTATTATAAGAAATACCTTTTTGTTTTAACAACATCCTGTAAGAAAAGGAGTTGTTGAAAATAGGCCCAACGAATATTCTTAAACATATGTTCAACCACATCAGGATGGTCAGTGATGTCTGGAGGCATATTTCTCATCACATTCTTATAATTTGTTCGAAACTGATCCACTAAATTTTTCCATGCTTTCCTTACAGTTTCACCTATAAATAGAAATAAGTAAATATATTCTTTATCATTATTATTAAATAATATCATACAGAACAAGGGCAATAATTGCATCAAAAACTATTAATAATATACTGGTATTTCTAAGAATATTTAACATTGGTAATTGATATTCCAAAACCAAACATTTTTAAAATATTAATTTGAATATTAAAATAGAAATAAAAATGTTACATATCTGGAATATGTAGCAATGTTTAAATGACTGTAATGCTCCCAATAAACTGATATGATATTTTGTGATTACCTGTATCATTTTTAGTTTTAATTTTTATTTAATTTTGAATATTGATATTTTAGTTACTATTTAATAACAATGTCAACTTGACTTAAGTTTTTGTTTAGTTTTTCTCTTCCATTTATATTATTTAAAACAAACAGAAAGAAATATATTATTAAATTTATTTATTCTTATTTGCATAATCGAGTAATCAGCTCATTACTGGGTATTATAAAAATATATGCCTGAATTTTTAATATTTGTTTTAACTGAAAATTTTTCTGTTTAGAATCATTTTCTATACTTTTAACTTTATCCAGAATTCATGTAAATTTCATCACAAAAATTTTTAAAAAGCAAAATAACTTCCAAATCTTGAAAATACTTTATTTTACTGCTTTTATTGGAAGACATTAGAAGATAAATATTCACAGAATCCTGAATACTTTCAAACCTTCTGATTCCTCATCAGGGAAATCTATGAAGAAACATTAACAAGACATAATATTCAAACATAATTTCACAAAGTTAACATTCTAAACCATACAGTTGCAGCTTGAAGCCTCAAGCCACATGCAGCTCACATGGTCTTGATATGAGGTCCCTTGGGCTCTGACAATGTAATTTTATTTTCCTAATTTATGTCTTGTGCTATTATGCAACCATAATTAAGCTGATATTCATGACAAAGAACGTTCAAACTAAACTTGACCATTGAAAAGATTTTAAAAAAAACTATTTTTTACTAGTTTGCATATCATTAGCATATATTATTTTTGTACTTACAAGGAAATGGCCAGATGTTGGCCTCTCCAATTCGTACAAAACTTGGCAAGCACATAACTATTTATGTTTAGGGTTGTTTGTTCAAATAATAGGACCCACTTCCCAAGTGTTTCCAAAAAATGGTCCTCTGAAAATTGTGTGTGTAGCTTATAAATCTTTCGAAGAATCACTTGTAATTGAGATAGCCAAGTGGACAAAATGCTAGGCATAAGAACTGCATGTTGTAGGTTCAGGCCTTTGCACTTTTAGAGTTTTTTTTAAATGTGTAACAAAATTACTTTACCATATAATTAGCATTATTATTACTATTGTTATTCTTCACATTTAAAGCTTATAAAAGAGTACTTGATTGCTTACTGTTATCTCAATTTGTAATATTAAGCCCAAAAAGCATATCCTTTTAAATTATAGAAAATAAACCTATTTTTTCCACTCAGAAAGAGTTCCTGTGTCATTTGTTCTCAACAGCAACCTTGTGCTAATTCTCAAGGAATAACCTGTAAAAGAGATTTTAAAAATGTAATGTCATTTTCTATTTAGTGAAAATAAAGTATTTATAGATTTAACTCTTGTATGTCATTAAATAAAACTTTTATTTCTTCATATTTATTTTCAGATATTTTTGCTCCTGATTATATACTAAGTCAACATAAGCAAATATTCTTCAGACATTACTGCAGATAGAGAAAACAGACAAATCTGATATGAAGATAGGGTAGCGTTATAATTTTATTGAAAAGGTAATTAAAATTATAGTTGTTAGATGTATCATGTTGAGACACACTCAAAGCATTACATCAAGGTTGATACTAAGAGCTTTTTTTATTGTAAGGCTAAACACCAGTCTGGAAGTCTGTAATTTACAATATTCTTTGAATAAGGTTACTGTAGTGTTGAATAAAGTTTATTTCCTTTTAAACAAGTTAAGCAACTTACCTTACACAAAATCTGCACATAATTCAAATAGCATTAAACATGACCATGCTATAAGTTATCATATTATGTATTTTGATAAAAATGTTTATTGCAAAAGTTTTATTAGATTTATTTCAGTCTATATCAATATTTTATTTGTGCACATAAGAACTACACATTCTGATTCATGTTTATATATTCCCAATGTTCAATTAAATGTAAATTTATCAACCTTTTTGTTGTTGGTAAAACAGTAAATTTTCAAAACTACTGGTTTATGATAAATTACCAGTAATTTTTAAATTTTGACTCCAAATGCAAAAATCAGCATACTAGTGATTGTTTCATTTTTAACAATAAAACAATCTTTACTGCTCTATGACCAATTAAATTCCTTTTTCTATTTTGAAAGCAAAAATTTTGCCACTTAAAAAATAGAGAATGTTGTAATTTTTTAGTTGCCACAAGAAAAAATTGTCCAGAGCAAGTGCTCATATTCAAATAAATGTATTCTGTTTTGTCAATGAACTAAAATGTTACTTGACTAAAATCATTATTGCACTTTAGATGTTATGGGTTAAGAAAGAAATTGTAAAACTGTCCAGCATACATGCTGTAATACAATATTTTAAAAATTGCAATTGTAAAGTAATAATTTAAAAGATTTAAGTGATAATTAAAAAATTTAAATCATAAAAGTAGTTTACATCATTATGTAAACTACTTTTATGATTTAAGTAAAAACATTTGATGCTTCTGTCTTTAATAAATAAAAATAAAATTAAAGTGTGTACAAATAAATATTTGGCTACAAAAAATTAAATGTTTTTTTTATCATCAAATTTACTGGTAAAAAAACATTAAATTACTGGTATATTCACTGATGCACATTTACCTGATTACCAGTAATGCAATCCTTAGTGCATAGATTTTTTTTTGTATCATGTTGTCATAAATGTTCAAGACATGGAGCATTTGCCATATGCCTTATTCATCTGATTTAAATTTTACTGTAAAAGATGAATATACCATATTATTTAGTTACAAATTTGTTGCATTTTAACTTGGGTATGTTTTTTTCTTGTTTCATGGAGGCCAGTCATCTATAGCCTTTATATTAATTTTACAGTAAAGCCTTAATAAACAAATAAAAATAAAAAATATTTTAAACACAATCTTCTAAATTGCTGATTCAAGACACTATTCAGAGGTACTCAGGACAGTACATATATCATCTAAGAATTTAATTACAGTAATACCTCGACTTACGCGAACCCAGAGTTACGCAATTTTCAAATCTCGTCGATTCGTCTTTTGTTTGAGCGCCACGCAACTCTTGATTACTCACTCCCCCACACTATTGTTCAGCTTACATGTTCGGATGTGTCGCGCGGAATCCACACATAGTTACAATTTATTTTGTGTTATTTATTTCTGTGTTTGTTATATCTACAGAGACTTAAGAGACTCTACTATGTCATCTAAACGAAGTAGAACTAATTCTTCTGCATCAAACAAGAAAAGGAAAACTTTATCTTTGTAATGTAAAGTTAACATTGGGTATGTTCGTAAAGTTGAACGAGTTAAACGAGAATGATGTCATCGTTATTCCTATTTCATTAGACTTTTCGAACGATTCATTACTAACACGTTCAACTCGTTTGACTTTACGAACGTACCCATTATTAAAGACTTCAATACAAAAATGAAAATTTGTGAATTGGCAAAGAAGTTTGATATACTGGAATTGTCGGTTGGAACAATTATAAAAGGCAAAGAAAAAATTCTCAAAGCTGTGAAAATGCTCAATCTTTAAATTCAAACATCATTCGTAAACATCACAGAATTATCGCTGAGATGGAAACAATGTTAAAATTATGGCGTAATAATCAAGTAAATGTGAAAAATTGTAAAATAATATAGGCCTAATTTGTTATACATATGTATTATCTAAGATTTTATTAAACATTTTTTTCTAAATTATTGTTTTCTTTAGTCTCTGGCCCCAATTAAAAATTATTTGTATGTATATGCGAAATTATACCCCGACTTACGCGGTTACCGCTCGGTCCCACCTATCGCGTAAGTTCAGAGTATTACTGTATTTATAGTAGTGGTAAAATAGTCCAATTCAATATGGTAATCATTTGACTCAGAACATTTCTTTGCTCCACTCTCTTTGCCAGTTAGATTCATTGCTTAGATTCTGCATTATTGAACATGTTCAGATTGAAACTATGTATACGATCCAATAACTGCACAACTTTGTTACTTATTCTTTTTCCACAACAATTGGTTCTTTATCTACATATTTAATAACAGAAATAAAACTGTTTTATTTATTTGTCAAAACCGTGTCTTCTTCTTCTTGTTTCTTCTAATTCAATGTCACGACTTGGTGAATTTATCGACATTTGGTAAATAATTTCATCATCCACTTTTAATTCATACAGATAACCATCAAGTCGGAAGGAAGGGAAGGGGAGTGGGAAGTACGGAAGGTACCTGACAGATACTGTATACACAAGATACAACCTATCTATGTAACAGACTGAAGAGGGCAAAAGCCCAAAACGCGTATCTGTATGAATTAAAAGTGGATGATGAAATTATTTGCCAAGTATCAATAAATTCACAGAGTTGTGGCATTGAATTAGAAGAAACAAGAAATAAAACTATTGAAAGATTCACTGCAACTGCAGTAAATCTTTTCATATTTTTATATATATTTTGTTTCTTAACAGTATATAGTTCTCAATTTCCCAACAGTTTCATATATATTTCATAATATGGACCAGATTTTTAATAGTAGTATAAGTCCATTTTTGGAAAAAATTGAGAAATCACATAATTGGGCTGTAATTTGAAAAAATTGTAGACCTATAAATTCCCATTGTTGTTTGTCTTTCCTTAATCTTGAGAATGGAATTAGGTAGGTGAAATCTGAGACCAGATATGGAAAGCTTAGGAGCAGGAGACCCAATTAACTGTAAATTAATTTAATTATATAAATGATTTCTATGTGAATTTAATCAACTTACATATTTCTACATT